CACTAAAGAGTTTGGAAATTATACTAATCTCTCTACTAGCATTGCTAACTTTTTTTTTGGGGGGGTCAAAACTAGCAATGCTAAACTCAATTATTATGTTAATGCCAGTTCTTCCCTCCTCTCCGGATAAACACAGTTACACAGCTATATTGAAATTTTGAAGTCAAACGGTTTCCTAGGAATAAAATATGAAATTCCACTAACCTATCTGATACGTTCTCCGCATTTCATTGCTCCAAGAAGATTGGGAAACTACCAAATCCATTTATTGTTATTGTATTTTAGTTGTATACTAAAATAACTTTTTTAATAATAATATGGCAAATAACTCTTTCCCACATGTCCATAAGAACTTTTTTACTCCTAACCTTGAGTTCTGCTTTAACTCTATCAACTCTAAATGCATTTGTTTCCACCTTCGTTATCGATTCCAACTTCCAAGTATATTTTTCGTTTGTGTTTTCGCCAAATGATGTACTCTACTTCCAAACGTGATGGATGAATTGTGTATATTAATAATTTGTTCCGAGGCTGGTTCTTACAGATTCTTTTTCTTCTTGAGAGAAGTTGCAAACTTGTGATTTGCCAAAGTGAATCCTCCACAAACAACTGCTTTACCGAAAAAGATTAGGGAAATAGTGAGAAAAGATCTAAGATAATTTACTCGAATTAGACAGTATTATTGACAACCTAATCTATTAAAAGAGAATCCTATTTTTTTATCTACTGATAAAAAGTCACTAGACCATTTCCATAGTAATTTTTAATACATTAAAATAATATTTTTATTATTAAATCATTTGGATAAAATATACTATCACAGATAAGAATATTCTATTTATTTTTAAATAGTTCCTATTTTACTTTAACAGAACCTTAGAAAATCTTTTGCTTATTAAGTTTAAATAATTCGTAATTATTATTAAATATTAGAAATAGATACTAGTTAAATTTTAAATAAAAAATTTACTATTTTTATATATATTAGTTAGTTTATAAATTTAAAATATAAAAATTAGAAAACAAATTGAAGTGTAATAAAAAATATATAAGAGTACAAAATTATATTGTTTAATTATATGATTATTTAGTTTACAGTTGATGTTTTTATATTTGTAAATTAAATAAAAGAAATTATCTTATTTAAAATAAAAATCATTAAAATAAATTTTCATCAATGAGAAATATATAAAAAATCTAATCCATTTACATTAGAAAACATCAAAAACTTAACAAAACGGGTTAAATATATTCTATTTTGATTCTTATATAAATATATTTATTTTAAATTTAAATAAAAATATTAAAATACAAATAAATTGTATATTATATATGCTGTTTCATATAAAAAGAAAAGAAATTATAAATAATTATATATTAATAATATCAAACAAAAGATATTAAGTTACATAATATAAAACACTATATTGTAATAATTTATTTTATCAAATTTGCATAAAATTAAATATAGTTATAAAAAAATATATATATATCCGCGCGGACACGCAAGTTAATATCTAGTTAATATAATAATTACAAAGAACAAAACACAAAATAATACAACCGAAAAGAGTATTCTAGGTATCAACCTAGTAAATAAAAAAACATATATCAAATAATTGTCTTCGCTTGCCTGTTATATTGATCAGCTCGTTCCAACTACTCTTTGCGCATCTACGGCGCACATGCCAGAGATCTCAGCTTGTTGTGTAACCGATTAACCGAAGGGTGGCTGGATCTTAGTTGTAATCTATACACTCACTACCTCAAGCTGTAAGGTAGTCCTTTGAACTAGATAGATGAAATTTGCCGATGAATATGTCTCCATTGCCAATTTAACCTGTTTCGATTGGATATTTACTAGGCCAGATTGATGTGATAAAACCTACTATAACATTTGCAAGGAAAATAAAAGAAAATCGGCTTTTAAGACAATATACTTGTCAAGAACAAATTTTAAGTTGTACATATAAAACCTTTGTTTTGTGCCAACTTCGTGTGTTTGTATCATTTTTCTTTACCTGACTTGTTTTGACTTGCTAAGGAACATATTCCATCTCCAACAAGTATATCACTGATCAAGAAAAAAACTCATTAGTGAAATTTACTTTATAATCCATTGAATTTATTTGGATCATCATTTTTCATTTAAATATTAAATACATATTATTGACAACACTATATATATATTTTTTTCAAACAAATGATTTAAATGATTAATTTTGATTTTTCTATAATAACATATTAGATATATTCATTTTGTTTCACAAAGAGCATCAACTTTTTTTTTACATATTAAAAAACTGTTAAAAATTATTTTACCCTTTGTTCATACATTAAATAAAATTTTCTTTCTAAGTAATACATTAAAATAGTAGGGATAAAACTGAATTTTGTTTTAAAAATTTGCATTATAAATACAAAACTACACTTTTATAAAACAAATAAAATCTCAAAATGATACATTTTGTAAAACATATGAAGTAATATTTTTTTTTGTCACCAACCTACACAGGCTCTGCAAACCAGACCGGTGGATATGCATCCTTATAAACGATAAAAGACGATTGTTTTCTAGCCCCGCATGCCAGATTATCTGCCTTGGTATTTAGCGTCCTTGGGATATGGATGATTTCTGATTGATTAAAACTCTCTCTCAGAACCTTAATGTCTTTCAAATAATTCGAAAAAGCTGGTCATTCCTCTGGTGAAGAAACCAACTTCACCAATTGAATACAGTCCGTCGCAAAAGTAACATGGTATTGACGTAAATTCCTTATACTTTCCATTGCCCATATAAGCGCTTCAATCTCAGAATATAAAGGCGACATACTTTCTCTTGTATTCCTCACTCCCATCAAACCTTGAAAACCTTGTAAGGTACTATATCACCCCTGTCCAGAAAACAGTTCCTTATCTTTCCATGACTCATCAATACAACACCAGCGGCCCGAAATTGTGGGTAAACTAGCAACAGTAGACCCATGAACTCCAATGTTCCCACACTTCTCTAATGACTGAGCGTCAATCCACAGTGCACATTCAGTCTCAGCTAATCGCAGGGTATATTTAGGATCCACGTCTAAATACCTTATTATTCCGTGCTTTCCAAATATACTATAAAATCCATGCAAATCGATGATCTTCTATCTTTGGTAATACTCTCCAATATAGATGAAGTAACAAATTCTAAACATTTAAATGATTTCAAAATATATTAATTCTAATTTTATGTCTAAAGATAATAATCCAAATCTTGTTGATATAATATATATATATATATAATAACTTTTGATTAAAGAATCATAGATTTTAACTTGAAATTATTTTTAAGTGTGAAAATACTGGTTTTTGTTAACTTTCAGGTTTAATATAAACAGGTTAGAATCTTTTTTGCTAAACAATCTAAAATTCAAAGATGAAAGGATGGAACTATACACGTTGTATTGTGATGTAGTTGTACTAAGTCCATCTTCAATAATACACAAAAACATCAAATTTGGTATAAATTCATCTCAAATAAAATATTAAATTTAATATCATCTCATCAAATTTGATGTAAAGTGAATAATACTACACCAAATTTTCTATTCATCACCACCAAATATTAATATACATATTTTATTATATTTCTTTTTAATAATATAATTTAATAAATATTAATTAATTAAAATTTGTAACTAAACCTAAATATAATGTATTTTTTATATTTATAAATCATTCTACATAATTAAAATTCTATGTAATACTATTAATTTTATCAAACATTGGAATTCCAATTTTATTTTATAATAGTTAAACTTGTATTACTAAGTAATGCAAATTGTATTAAAAATATAGTAATACGAATTTTATTAAAAATATATTATTTTGTCATGTACTTTTTATTTTTAATAGTTTTTAATTTTGAATATAACTAATACTTTTATAAATAAATACATAAAGATATGATATTTGTAAATCAAATATATAAATGTAGATAAATTTATAAACATAAAACTACAATAACTTAACAAACATAATAGATAAGTGTGATAAAATGATTATTTATCAATTACAAATAACTAAAATATAAAATTTATTAAAATTGAAAAATTAAATAATATATAATATACTATTATTTTTGGTATAAAATTAGTGTGATTGTTGGAAATGAAAAAGAAAATTTGACACCAAAACACTAATTTTGGTATAATTTTAACACCAAATTTAATGTCATTGTTAGAGAAAATTACATTAAATTTGATGTCATTATTGGAGATGTCTTAATAATGAGGGAATTTTTTTTTTTGAAAAAAATTATGAGTGAGAATTATTCATCAAATAATGCACTTTAAGTTGTCATAAAAAAACGATACACTTTTAAATGTTCCCTACTTCTTTCTAAAAAAGTTATCAAGGTTATGGAAATTAATGTCAATCTAATTAATTTTAAAAGCTTATAAATTAAATTGATTATATGAATTGATATAGATGTCAGAAAAAAATATATAGAAATCTATGACGTATAGTCAAATGATTTTAGACTATTTGGGGATAAAATCATGTATCATTCACTTACTATAAATTATTAATCTTAAATAAGTGCTATTCAATTAAAAATGAGTTTCTCAAAAAATATGTTACCATGCACTAATATTTAACTAGTATTCAAATAAATTAAATATTATTATTTTTTGAACAATAAAATAAAAAATATTATTTATTATTTGAAATCCATACTAAGTTCATTACTTCGTTTTTTTTTGGTCAACAAGTTTATTACTTCGTTATATATACATTATTTACAGAAAAAAAATGCATTCGAAAAAGTGGAAAAACAGATAAAACAGCTTTTCCTCGTTCCTTCGTTTCCTATCTATTAATAAAAAATTATTAGACAAAAACAAGAGTCACAATCGCAGTCAAATAAAGAGTTAAATATTATTATTTCCGTCAGCATACACGGCAAAATTCGCGTTATATAACTTCTACCAAAGTTGCAGAGATACACAGACACACCCACCCACACACAAAAAAAAAAAAGAACTGATAGAGAAGTTGAGAGAGAAACACCATCACCGTTCCCAGATTTCGATTTTCACTACTCTGATATTTCTTTTCGATATTCTCGAAGATTCCGAGAAAAAAAGATGAACTCAGACTCCTTGGAAAATCTCCACCGGTCATTCATTGAATCGTCGAAATCGTTCATCGACTACCGACTCGAGACAGTGTTAACCGACCGAGAACTGCCTTACCTCCGCCGTATTTACTTGGCGTTGATGATAGAGATGAAGTTCCTCCTCTACCTCGCCGCTCCGGCTATCCTCGTCTACGTCATCAACAACGGAATGTCAATCGCCACTCGTATCTTCGCCGGCCACCTAGGTAGCTCCCAACTCGCCGCTGCTTCTCTCGGTAACAGTGGATTCAATCTCTTCACCTACGGTCTTCTGGTAAAACTCATTTTAAACCGATCTATTGCAACTTTAAACCGAATCTAACCGATCTATTGCAAATCAAACTGAATCTAAACCGATCTATTGCAACTCTAAACCGAATCTAACCGGTTTTGTTGATATTTCCGGTTATGTAGCTTGGTATGGGAAGTGCGGTGGAGACGTTATGTGGACAAGCGCACGGAGCTCATCGTTACGAGATGCTCGGAGTCTACCTCCAGAGATCAACGGTGGTTCTAATCATGACGTGTCTCCCGATGTCACTTCTCTTCATCTTCTCGAAGCCGCTTCTCAACACACTCGGCGAGCCAGAGCAAGTCGCTTCAATGGCTTCCGTCTTCGTTTACGGTATGCTCCCTGTGATATTCGCTTACGCGGTTAACTTCCCGATCCAGAAGTTCCTCCAAGCGCAGAGCATCGTCACGCCGAGCGCTTACATCTCCGCCGCGGCGCTAGTCATCCACCTCGTCCTCTCGTGGACCGCTGTGTATCAGTTAGGGTTTGGCCTCTTGGCTTTGTCTCTGGTTCATAGCTTCTCGTGGTGGATCATCGTGGCGGCTCAGATTGTTTATATTAAGATGAGTCCGAGATGTAGGCGGACTTGGGAAGGGTTTAGCTGGAAAGCCTTTGAAGGTCTTTGGGACTTTTTCCGGTTATCGGCGGCTTCCGCCGTGATGCTCTGCCTCGAGTCGTGGTATTCTCAGATTCTTGTTTTGCTCGCCGGACTTCTCAAGAACCCTGAGATTGCGTTGGATTCTCTCGCTATATGGTAACTTTCAACTTTAAAATCTCAGAAAAAACCACTTTTTTATTTCTTACCTTTTGAGATTTAATAAAAACATAAATTGCCAAAAGAGAAATTTAACTGAAAATCTACAATAACTCTCTCAACATTGGACATATACTTTTTCATATTAATGTTGGCCAAAAGTAATTATTGCAAGTATAATTACTTGTTCTATTTTCGAAAGATAAATACATTTTCTAAAAAAATAGGTTTTTGAAAATTTCTCTGTAATTTTAGTTAATAATACTCCCTCCGTTTCTTTTTATAAGGTGTTTTGGTTGAATGCACGGAGATTAAGATATTAATCTTTTTTTTGTACAAATACTTTTAATGATATACTTTTAAAATCATTTAACCAATTATAAAAAAAGACTGATTATTTTTATTGGTTGAACAGTTTTCAATAAAGTTAAAGTTAACCTTAAAACTTAAAAACTACCTTAAAATCTCAAAACATCTTATATTTTGAAACAACATAAATCCTCTAAAACATCTTATAAAAAGAAACGGAGGGAGTATTAAATATGAAATTTCAAAAGAATTATGTTCAAATTAGTGAAACTTGTTAATGATATTTTGCATTTATAATTAGATTTTAATTGATTTATGAAATTTGGATAGTCTAAAAATATGTATTATTCAAAATCAAAAATAAAAGCATTTAGCAATAATTGTGTTGCTATACTCCTGAATGGGATATTTTTAAAACCAATATAATCCAAGTTCACAAATAAACAATGAAAACGTAGGACAGATATTATTTCCATTTTTTTGAGCAAGGACAGATATTAATTCCTAACATATTAATTTAAGTGTTTTATGATATATTTTTCTATGAAACCTCGTCGTCACGTCATTTTTCTTATTCATTAGAGACGATAAAGCTGTTCAAGTCTTTATCTTCACTTTTGTCGTTTATTAAAGAGTTTCTAGTGACCAGAAAACGGCATGCACGTATGTATATGTGGACAATTATCAATTTACTCATCAATTTTTTTTCTTGAAGCATGTCAATTTCTGCAGTCTCATTCATGGTCTCCGTTGGATTCAACGCAGCTGCAAGGTTGGTAACAAATAATTGTTTTTTTATTCACAATATAAATAAATCGTGTGTTCTTGTGGTTACTAATAATAGGCGTTTTTTGTTGGTTTTCAACTTATGTATAGTGTGAGAGTAAGCAATGAATTAGGAGCTGGGAACCCAAGGGCTGCCGCCTTCTCCACGGTAGTAACAACATCAGTATCATTCTTACTAGCGGTTTTTGAAGCCGTTGTGGTTTTATCCTGGCGAAATGTCATCAGCTACGTGTTTACTGATAGTCCTATTGTGGCCGAGGCCGTTGCGGATTTATCACCCTTTCTAGCAATCACTATTGTCCTCAACGGAATTCAGCCTGTACTGTCAGGTAAAAAAGAAGCCCACGTTTATATCATATCAAGTTTTGTTTTCTATATATATAACACTTTCAGTTATTAGTTTGAAGTTTTAAACAAATCCTTTTAATACAAATATGTTAGGTGTGGCTGTTGGATGTGGGTGGCAAGCATTTGTTGCGTACGTTAACATTGGGTGTTACTACGTCGTGGGAATTCCGATTGGTTTCGTACTTGGTTTTACATATGATATGGGAGCAAAGGTAAATAAATAAATCGCTTTTTTCTTTAATTTTTGACATATACGTAATAAAATATGATAAATGCAAACGATAAATTAAATGAGTATGTAATGATTCATTGGTGCAGGGTATATGGACAGGGATGATTGGTGGCACATTAATGCAAACCATAATCTTAGTGGTTGTTACCTTGAGAACTGATTGGGATAAAGAGGTGATTGAATAATATTTTCTATGCTTTATGTGAAAAAAGTTCTAAGCAAAGATCTTGAGTATGATTTAGGATTAAATATGGTACTTACAAGTAATTTTCTTTTTTTTTTGGGCAACAAGTAATTTTCTTTTCGTTTAAATTTAGGTGGAGAAAGCTTCTAGCCGGTTGGACCAGTGGGAAGAGAGCCGTGAAGCGCTTCTTAAGCAGTAAAAAAAAAAAAAAAAAGAAGCAACGACAATTTCTTATACAAGGTTTTGGGAATTTGAGGTCAAGATGAAATCAATTTTTTGTGTTCCCGAAATTTGTTGTTGAGGTTCACATGAAAGATGCCAGTTCAATGGATGAAACACTAATTTTTCAATCGAAAAATGTTTGTTGTTGTTGATTAATGAAATAAAAAAAATTTTATGGCACACATCTTTAAATGTATAATGTTTCGTAAGAAAACACGTCCTTATATTGGCTGTTCTTGAGATGTACATAAAAAGGTTTTACAAAAAGTTTAAAGAAAACAAGAGAGTTTAATTTAAAGGTATCGGCGAGATTCTATGAAACTCTGATAAAAGCCATCGACTCCAGAACCTAAAATAGGGCCAAAGCATCGACGATCAATTTGATTAGAACTGCATTTAACAGAAGTTAGGTGTTAGGACCAACTGAAGATGGTCCAGTTGTTTCTGACATAAAATAAGACAAAAGAAGAAGAAAATGGCCATAACCCTTTTACTAGTTTAATGATTCCAACCAACCCACACCACAATGGTCCTGATTTCAAGTATTTTGTCGTGTAATGATATTGATAATAATAACCTTGTCAAGTTCTTTGGTGGTTGTCTAGTCTTAAGAAGTACTCCCTCCGTTCCACAATATAAAATGTTTTATCCAAAACACAAGAATTAAGAAACTTAACTTTTTAAAAGATAACATCATTGATAGTATAAATTTAAAATAAATTAACCAATCATAAATAATAAACTAAAATATTATTGGTCAACCGGTTTTCTATAAAGTTAAAGTACCTTAAAAGTATCAAAACATCTTATATTTTGAAACATAAATTTTCTCTAGAACATCTTATATTATGGAACGGAGGGAGTATAGTTCTTAACTAAAAAATATTTAGACTTGCGAGCTAAATATTATTAACGAGCCAAAGGTTAGAAAAACTTATATTGGATGTTTACTAGGCCTGGCGTTCGGTAGCCCAATAGGTTTCAATTCGGTTGATTCAGATTTTTGGATTTTCGGTATTGTACTCATAAGTACCATTCGGTTTTTGCTAATAATCGGAGCGGATTCGGTTCGGATCGGATTATAACCAATATCTGAAATCGTCCAAAAATATTTTTTTTAAACCTAATAATTTGACAAAATAGTATTCATAATATGTAAATTATTCACAAGTATAATTAAAAATTAGTTAAACTATCTAAATTAGCTAAGATATATTCAAAATAACATATAACATAGACTATGAAAATATTTAGAAAATTATAAGTTATCTAAATTACCTTAACATATATAAAAATATTAACATATTTAACTAATTTTGGATACCTTTGGATCCTACTTTAGATTTTGGTTCGGTTCGGGTTATACCCAAAGTCCAAAGTACTAGGTTCATAAGTCTTGTTCGGTTAGTTTTGTATAATGGTTTGGATCCGGATTTGGTTTTTACGGTTCGGGTTTATGTCGGTACTTCGGGATGGGGTAAAAACACCCAGGCCTAATGTTTACAAACCTATCAATCTATTTAAACGTGTCCCTCTTACACCATCTCGATCTTCCAGAGGGAAAGAGACATTTTGATGTTTCGTTCCAAACTTATGGTGCCATTTAATTATTCACTAGAGTTTAACCCGCAGATTTCTTTTTAATTTTTTTTATGATGTATTTTCTAAAATTAATTAGTCGTGTTAAATTGAATTATTTTTAGTGGCTGTTAAAAAATTATTTATGTCATATAAATAAACTAAACATCAGAGAAATACACATTGTTTATTTTTACTTTTTTAATAAATACGTATTTATTTGTATAATTGATATTATTTACTCGTTTAAATAATTATTTGATATGATATTTTTAAACACAGTATTTTAATATTTTATCTTGTAAACCATCAATTATATTATTTCTATTTTTTAGAATATGATCCGTATATTTTTGAAATATATTTTTATATACTTAGGAATCAAAATTTTATGATAATGTATAATAAAATTATTTTATATATATTATTTAAAATATATGGTGCTATATATTTTATAATTTCAACATTTAAACATATATTTATACTAATCTATATATTATATAAATTATTTTTATTTTAGTTATTATTAATAGTAAAAATAATAATTTATTTTTCAAAATAATATGTTGAATAACTATTTATAGCTAGGTTTATTAATTACTTATTTATTTCCAAACACACATATATAGAAAAAGACAAAAAAAATACTAAAATATAGGTTTATCGATTATTGTTTCCATAATTTTTAGTTAGAATTTAATTTTGAAAATGCATTAATTAAATATAAAAAGACAAAAGATCCTAAAAGATAGACTAATTAATAACTGGCATGCTTTTCTAAATAATTTAAAAAATGAAAATATATTTTCTATGGATCCTTCTGTTTTAATAAAATAGATAACCAATAATTTGAATTTATCTAATTATGTATTCGTTTTAGTTACTTTTGATGCAATTTTTATAAATTAAAATTACAGGATGGTGAAGATTTGATAATATATTATAACAACTGAAATTTGTTTAAAAATGGGTAGATATATCTTTGAGAAAATGACTAGAATAGACCTAAATTTTTTTTTATCACAAATATAGACCTTAACAATTAAAATGACCAAAATATCACTTAAATGTTTTATTAAATATACATTTATATCCTTTGGGTTAACTAATCCTAGATTTTTTTTTTTGTTTATAGTTGAGAAATGAGGTTTTGGGGATAGAGTTTCGAATTTAAAAAAAATTAAGAAAACTTAAAATTTTCAAAATAAAAGTGCAATTTTAGTCATTTTAATTATTAAAGTCTATTTTTTGATAAAAACTTAAAAGAATGCTATTTTAGAGAATTGTCCTATATCGTTTTGTTATTGAAAAATTCTTTAAGTTATAAATTATACTCCATCCGTTTTTATATAAATGACGTCTGGCATTTTTTCACACAAATTTAGATAGATAGTACAATATCTACTCTAAACTTTTTATAATTGTTTAATCCAGTTCGTCATAATTACGACAGAGATAAAACAAGGGAAATTATAGTCAACTTTTGTTATATTTTGTCTACAAGTTTGTAAACGACAATTATAGTGATACAAAATAAAATTATAAAACATCATTTAAAAGAAAACAGAGGGACGAGTAAATATGATAAATCTGTTTATTGTTAATCATTATACTGATTGATATATTTATTCTTTAAATTTTGATTATTTATGCTTACTTTAAAATCATATGTTACCATCTTATAATGTTCTAAATCTGATAGGAAGTTCTACAAAAAGTTAAGTTTTAGTTTAAAGGTTGGAGTGTTTTTTTTTGTTTTTCTTTTTTTTGGGCAACTAAAGGTTGGAGTGTTTAAAAATAGAAAAATAACAAAACTTTGGAACAATGGTGTTTAAATTTACATGTAAACATTAGGTAGATAGAACACATAAATCAATGGAATTATGATGTTTCAAAATGAAAATGGGTTCAATGAATTGTTAATGGTGGCAGATGAACACACGTAAGGGTAATATCTGGTGGTGTCAAACATTATGATGGATGAAAATGTCGATAATATTCAATAAGTGAGAGAAAAATGTAAAACAAGGTCATTTGTGTAATTAATGTTAAATAATTATAGTTAACGAATAGTTTCCTTTATAGTATACTAGGGCTCGCCCGGGCGACGCCCGGGTTTTTCGTTAAAACTTTAATTATATATGTTGTATGTTATTTTGATATATAAATATTATAATATACTATAAAATATAAGTTGTTAGACAATTATATAATTATTATTAATTATTTTTTGTCTTTCTAATTTTAAAAATTTTAAATCCAAATTTTGTATGTCATAGAGTATTAGTATGTGATTTGCGTAGAATTGTTGTGTATTGTGTCTCGTCTCGACTTTTGTTTCTTTATTTGTTTGTGTTATTATTTTATTTTCACTTTCTAAAAAAAAATATTGTTTGATTATTTATTACTCATTGTTTACTGTTTGAATCTTTTTTTGATAATTCTAAATTTGATCTTATTTACTTAAAATGGAAAGAAAATTTGGTATGTGAATCTCTTTTTCCTTAGGTTTAATGAAACGTAAAGAAAAACAATATGATAATATATTTTTTCTATTTCTAAACTTATAGACTTCTTTATTAATTTTGATTATGTTTAAAGATTTTGTAACCTTTACTTAACTATTAAATCTTTATTAAACTTTTCATTAAACACAGGGAAAAAACTTATTATTAAACTCAAGTTATATTACATAGCATAATTAAATTTTGATTAGTCTATTTTTATATCTTATTAGTTCTTGGTTTTAAATTTTTTTTCATCATGTATTAATTGTTAATTATTTTATATCATTTTGTATTATAGGTTAACCTTGAATTTGGTAGTAAAAAGGTAACCAAAAATTTGTGAGGTTCAGTATTTTTATTTTCGTTGGTATAAATATAATGAAATGTATAAAGATGAATAGCGTAAATTGATTTATCCTCTTTCTCGTGAATATTATTTATTTTAATTATAATTGTTTTGTTTTAATTATATTATATATTTTCACTAAATGATTATTTTATTATAATTATCATAAATTTATTTATTATAATTATATATTTTCACTAAATGATTATTTAAAAAAAAGATTAATGTCAAGTTTTTTGGTTTCATTAAAAATAAATATTAATTATAATGATTTAGAAGTTCTTAAATTGTTTGAAAGTTTCGATGGTTGTATTTAGAGTTCACTTCATGTTTGTGTGCGACATGTTATACGGATCAATGTTATATAGTTGTGTATTTTTGCAATTTCTATTCTCGAGCCTATGGTATTATGTGCTAATTTTTCTCCAACTTATTCTTAAAAACTATCAATCAAGTCGAAAGATATTTACTTTCATTTAATTTTTTATTACTCTTTCAAAAGAGATAAACACACACTCATCATTGTGTTGGATATAGTGAACGTAACATTATTTTCTCACTTTCCTTCTCTTTTTCATTTTATATTTTTCTGATTCTATTTGATCGGAAAAAACTGTGAGATCTTAGCAGCCACTGAAGTGGTGTTATGAGGTGAAAGATTCTGAGGCAGGATGGTGTTAAGCTAATGACATATTATTTTGTCAGATTATACGCCTGATATTAGAATTTCTTTTGTCTTCATCTTGTGTGTATTCGTTTTAAGATAATTGATTGTTATTTAGTGTATATTTTGTCTATAATAAAATGAATAACATGTTTACTTAAACATGTTCACTTAACACATTTCACCATCTCTATCAAAATTTGATATTCGTTTATATTTTGGACATTTTTATTTTTATATACTGCAAACATATTTTACAATATTATATTACTTTTAGTATTGTAATATTTTATGTTGTTTGTTTTTCATAAAATCACATAGTTATTTTTATGTGTCCGATTATTTTTTATA